GTGAGTGGCTTCTGCTTTCACAGCAAACTCAGCTCAGAAGGGAGTGGGGGTAAAATTGGCATTTGTATCCAAGGGAGGGGGGTTTGCCCCCCTACTGTGCCCCTGCGAGACCCCACCTAGAGCACTGTGTCCAGCTCTGAGGTCCTCAGCAGCAAAGGCATGGATCTGCTGGAGCAAGTCCAGAGGAGGCCACAGAGATGCTCCAAGAGCTGGAGGCTCTGCTCTGAAGCCAGGCTAGAAGAGCTGGGGGTGTTCACCTGAAGAAGAGAAGGCTCTGGGGAAGCCTTATTATGGCCTTTTGGTACTTAAAGGGGGCCTATAGGATGAAGGGAGAAGGACTTCCCATGGGCAGATAGTGACAGGACAAGCGGAGATGGCCTTAAGCTGAAGGAGGGCAGGGTTAGATCAGATATTGAGGAGAAATTCTTCCCTGTGAGGGGGGTGAGGCCCTGGCACAGAGAAGCTGTGGCTGCCTTATTCCTGGAAGTGTCCAAGGCCAGGTTGGACAGGGCCTGGAGCAACCTGGGCTAGTGGAAGATGTCCCTGCACATGGCAGGGGGTGGAATGAGATGATCCTTAAGGTCCCTTCCCACCTAAACCATTCTGTGATTCTGTGATCTATTCAGGATCTCCAGAAGCCAGAATCCCCCTCCTCTCTGGGAACGGGCTGTGGCCTGGTCTAGGCTGGCGCTGAGGGTACCAACTCCCATCTCATGCATCAAGGAGTTTCCTTCAATGACATCTGATGTCCAATGACACTGCAGCATCTCCCCATGCAGCACAAATGAGGGTAACTTCAAAACAGTTATGAGCACAGACACAACGAAGTAGCAATGACAGAAGCACAGTGGGATGCTCAGGGAATCTTCAACCACAGGTGTCTGTTCAGTACCTGCTGCACCACAGAGAACTGAGCAGTGCTGTCTGTGCCCTTCACTGCTGACAGGGGCTTTGTCCATTACAAGTCCAGGTTTCTTTTTCCCCTTTTAAAGTTGCTGACTCTAAAATCTTCTCCTTGACATTTTCTCTACACTAGTAGGAGGGGGTTTTTTGTTGATTCTGGAACCACTTGAAAACAGGGGAAATTGGCCAAGACATTCAAAAGTTAAATTAAAATCTGACTCTGCAAATAGCCAGTGTCAGTGGTGTGAATAATGTCCCTCTCCAGGAAGAGATGTTGAGGGAAAGGGGAGAATTGGATCAGAGTGAAACACAGCTTAACACAGACAGATAAAAAAATCTAGGGTTGGATAGGGTGACTTCTAAAGGAGATACTGAATATTTGGATTCAAAATTTTTGGTACCAAAGGAGGAATTGTTAATGGGTTAAGGTGAGGACATTCCTGAGCTTGCCCTGCGTGGTTGGTGTGAGCTTTGTGAAGACCTGGCAGTGAGAACAGGATTTACGGGTAGGAAATCTGCAGCCATTGCTTTGGAAAGCTTTAATCATGGGTTATTGTTGTGTCAGGGGTTTCTGTGTGCGCCTATGGATTAAAGAATGTATGATATGTCTAGAATTCTGAGAGGGATGTAAACAAGCCTCATGTTCTATAGAGTCTTTTCCTGCTCGGAGGTGTCGCTGATGTTGATCAGAACACTGTGCCAGTTTCCTCTTGAGAAGTGTTCATTTACTGACAGCAAAGCACATGAAATGTCATCCCTGGTGAAACATTGCTCTCTGCATCTGTGCCCACATCTTCTGGGGCCAAACTTTCCACATTCTTGCCTCTTGCAGAGCTGTTGCGGTGGAAGCCTTTCCCCTTTAGAGCAATGTTGGGTTTTTTTTCAGTAAAAAGACAAACAAAGCTATTCTCTGTTTCAGAATGCAAGATGGGATATCTCTGGAGAGATTAACCTTCTTTACAGAGTTGTTTTTTGTGGTTGAAAAAAAAATCTGTTATCATTAAAATAATAAAAAAAAAATCTGCACCTCATTATTTCCAGAAATAAAGCTGCCATGATTAGATTTATTAAGAATTGACTTGGGGTGAACTGAAGAGAGCTCCAACCCCAAAGAGTCTGTGTTTTAGAAAAAAGGCAGGAAGACAATAGGATGGACACGGGAAGCAAGAAGAGGGAATTGCTCTGTGATGTTAATAAGAAAATATGTTCTTTTTGGGAAGGACTCTGAGAAGTGGCTTGGCAGACACGGCAGGAGGGGTTACTCAGCCCCTCTCCATGTGTTCAGTGCTTGCCTGAGCTCAGTCAGTCACAAGAGGTGGAGATGGGAGAGATGCACAAAAGTCAGGATTGGCATAGCCAGGGGAAGAATTCAGGAGGAAATGTAGAAGGCAAGAAGCGTGAGCAGGAGAGCTTGTCCTGTCCTTTCCTGCCCTGCCCCTTCCCTAGCTTCCCTCCTGTGCTTGAGCCCCTGGTGAGCTGCTGGACCCCCATCCCACTGCCCCTGGCTCCTGCTGTGCCCCAACCTCTTGGGAACAGCAGTAAAACTATTCCTCCACATATCCATGAGAAGAACTGTGGTTTGGCATTTGACAGAGTCTCAGGGGTGCAGATGTAGTGCTGAGGCAGCAGTTTTTGTGAGCAGCCTGGTGCTACCTGGGGTTCCGGATTCCTCCAAAGTGTTCTCAGGAGCCTCTGCCCCCACCTGCACCTCCGGAGGGGGGGTCATTCCTTTTTTTCTTCTTTGCTTTCTTTTTCCCTTCCCTTTTACCTTGGGGCCATCAACAGATCTGTTTCCTGATCTCTGTGTCTGCTTTGAAGACAACTTCTCACCTTTTAGTTACTGAAGGAATGTGAGGAATGAGGCCCCATGGCCCCAGCCTCCCACCCAGCTGGGAGGTGTTCCTACATGCCAGGGACAAGGAGTAAGGTGCTGCCATCCCTGGGAGCAGGCTCAGTGCCTGGGAGCAGGCTCAGACCCTTGGGCACTGCTGGTGGGCAGCAAAGGGGAGATGGCAGCGACATGTGCAGGGTGGAGATGGACTTTCAGTGCAGATCTGAGCATTTCAGTCCTGATCTGAGCATTTCAATCCTCTGAAAATACTTGTTGGTAGTGCCAGCAGGGATCCAGTCCTAGAGCTACAGGTCCTGAGCCCCCGTGTAGATTTTCAGCTTGTTTTAGCAGTTTTGTAGGCAATATTAACTTCTAAGGCAGATGCATGAGTAAATCAGAGAGAAGCAAGTTGCCAACCTGGCTGTGATGGCTCTGGGATATTTACAGGCACATGTGGGGGACAGGGGGTGCTCCTACCCCCATGGAGCTGCTGTGACTGTTGGTGTCACTGTGTTTGTATTTCCTCTTACAACTGCACCTGCCAAGAGGTGGACAAGTCAGAAGAGCTCTGGTGCATCCAGCTGTCACCGTGGGGGCTGTCACAGTCCCTGTGTCTCTGCCCTGCCCCTCGCCCATGCCAGGGTGGGCAGCCTGCCATGCTCCAGCCACGCTGGCTCACAGCTGGGATTTGGACTTAAACCACTGGCAGCATGAGTCTGTGCTGGTGCCCCCAGGCTCTACAGTGTGCCAAGGCATGCGTTCACTTCCTCTAGAGAACAGATGGGAGCAGGGAACGTCCTAAACTGCCCTCCCTGTTTGCAGGTGCAAACACAGTGACACCTGAGAGTGTGTTTGTCCCTATGGCTGGAGCAATGATCCAGTTGTCACATCCCCAGAGGCCTCGAACAGACACAAAGGGAGGAATTTCTTCACCCAACCCTGGTTCATCCCAGCTGGAGAGACTGCTCTGGGTTCCTCTCACTGTCAGTGGGGATGAAGGAGGACTTTCAGAGCACATTTCATGCAGCCTGTTTCCAGTGCAGGGTGACACTACTCTCCCCCTGGGCCCCACCCTGCCCGGAGGAGGGACCTGGTGCCCCTGTTTCACAGCAGTGGGTGCAGGGGAGCTGTAGGCTGACATCAGCCTTTCCCTGGCTGTGAACACCAAAGCTGTCCCTCAGGAAAGCTTTGCTAATGTGCCTTCCCTGTCACCCGTGGGAGACTGGCAATCCTAATTATCCGTGCAAATACTTCCAAGAACAGATGAGGCCCCACTCCACTGTCTGCCCTGAGAGACACTAAGCCATGCTACGAAGATGCTCCAGGGCCTGGAGCCTTTCTGCTCTGGAGACAGGCTGAGGGAGCCAGGGGTATTTACCTGGAGAAGGGAAGGCACCAGGAATATCTCAGTGTGGCCTTTCAATACTTAGAGAGGGCTTATAAGAACGATGGGGACAGAGTTTTTAGCAGGGCCTGTTGCAGCAGGACAAGGGGTGATGGTTTTAAACCATCTATAAGGATGAACTTTTTTATAACAAGGGTGCTGAGGCCCTGGCACAGGTTGCCCAGAGAAGCTGTGGCTGCCCCATTTGTGGAAGTGTCCAAGGCCAGGCTGGATGGGGCTCTGAGTGCTCTGGTCTAGTGGAAGGTGCCCCTGCCCATGGCAGGGGGTTTGGACTAGATGACCTTGAAAAGTCACTGCCAATCCAGCCTGTTCTGTGATTCTATTATTCTATTGCCTCTCACAGGCCATCAAGTCACAGCATCACTTTGGACCTATGTACAGCTGCAACATGGGATTAAAATAATCTAAACTCTTACCCCTCCATAATTATCTGTTTAATTGCAGACACCTTTGCTCTCTTGTTAGTGGCTGGTTCTGATTTTGCTTAATGTAATCAGTGTCTAAGTAAATAATATACACGTCACCAGTCAGGCTCAGTGGTGGTGGTGTAGCCTTGTTTCTCTGTGATGTACCTGCAAAGTGGCTTTCCCTGGACAAACAGCCATGCTGGCAAGGGGACACAAGTATCCCAACGAGCTCGCAGTTCAAGTGTGTGCTCTTCATCTCCTGCAGAGAAGTGCAGCACTCACTGGAAAACCACTCCTGTGGTGGGATGAGCCCTGCTCTGGCAGTGGGGTGGCTCCTGCTCCTCCCTGCCCTCGCCCAGGACCCCCGCAGGACACTGCATCCAGAGAGGGGGGGAGAGACAGCCATAATGGGAATTGCACTGACAGTGTTCCTTCCCTCTGCTTCCCCTCTCAGAGCACAGCCGGGGACAGTCGCTGTCTCCAAGGGCACCTGGTGCAGCTGCTGCTCCGGCACTGCCCCGGGCGCGCGGCGTGGTGGGCGCGGCACTGGGGGCTGCCCATGGACGTGCTACCTCCCAGCCTGGCTGAGGAGCTGCCAGAGCTTCACACCCAACAGAGGTAAAGACCCTTTTCAGTGTACATTACTTGTATATTTATTTGCTTAAAATCATCTGCCATAATGCTTCCTTGGGAAGACAATTTTGCAAAGGCTTCCTCCATGTACTCAGATCCATCGTGGCCCTGTACACACTGCATTTGTTTGTCATAAGCCTGGAAATGTCTGTGAAAGGAGCATTTTAAACTCGTCCTGAGTTTATCACAGAAGCTCTGTGAGATTGCTTCATGCTGCAGAGGGTTCTTAAGTTTCCTCTGCCAGATCAACAGTGCAAATGAAATCATGTGACTAGGACCTGAATATGCATCTATTTTACTGAGGTTATTACACATCTGTCAAAGTTTTCCATATGCTCTGCACCCCCACTGGACTGTAACCTGGTTTAATGCCTTTCAGGAGGCTTATGACCAAGAAACTAATTGTAAAGTTCCTTAGATTTTTTAATTGTATTTATTTTGTTCCTTCTTTTACAGCTCATAAACCAGTTTTTTTCCCACTCCATAATGTTGGCCTCATCCAAAGAAGTATTGAGAATTTTTGACATTTGGGGTCAGATAACAGAAGAGACACATTAATTGAATAAGTGAGCTTAAGAAGCTTTTAGCCCCCTCATTAGTCTCTGTTCTCTTTTCTTCCTCTGCTGCAATCCCAATAACCCAGTGCCATGTTCCCCTCCTGCTTTGGGACCCCCATGTTGTGTGCACCAGATGAACCTGCAGTAGCCACAGTTCCTCCCCCAACAGGAGCTCCATTCTCAAAAGAATTGAAAAATCCTTATATTAAGAAGGATTCTTACAACTCCTTGATTTCAGGTGCTCAGAACTGTGCAAACAGCCCCAGTCAAGGATCTCTTTAAACCTGCTGGTGTAGAAGGAGCAGAGGGGAAGGATGGAGAGATGAGGGTGGCAGGTTCCACACCGTGTGTAGACAAAGCTGTGCCAAGTTGAGAAGAGGCTCAAAACTCAGGAAGGCCCATATACCCCCTGAAGTGTCAGGAGCTGTCTGATCCCCATGGCAAGCTGGATCTGGAGGAATACCAGGGCTTTGAAGTTCTGGTTCTGAGTATTCTGTGCTGTGTCTCTCTGAGAAAATGTCCCAAGATCATCCTCTTCAGGCAGCAGTGTCCCCATTTAACAGCTGCCCAGCTGTGCTGTACAGAGAGGGACAGAATCTGTGTGAAGAAGTGACTCAATACAAGTGATTTGCTGAGCCCCAGTTCACTGTTACACTCTGGTGAGCACTGGTGGACCTGCCATGTTTCAGTGACTGCATCCATGAGATGTTCCCAGGGAAACTGTGGCTGCCCCATCCTAGACCAGGTTGGATGGGGCCCTGAGGAACCTGATCTAGTGGAAGGTGTCCCTGTCTGTGGCAGTGGGGGTGAAGCTGGATGATGTCTGAGGTCCATTCCAACCCAAACCAGTCTCTGATTCTCTGATTCTGTGTTTAATCAAGTTCTTCAGAGACAGCCATGTTTGCCACCCTTTTTTAACCCTTTTTCTCCTGCAGATATTCAACCTACTAAAAGTCTTGAGGAACCTGCAGAGCTGGCAGTGGATACTGCATGAGGGTCCTGTTAGGATCTCACCCAGGGCTGCAGAGGAGATGTAGAACCTCAGGCTGGATGAGGCCCATCAACACACAGCCCAGAACTCTGCCCACACTGTTCCTGAGCCAAACCCCTGCCAGGCTGCAGGCCACCACAGCCCTTGGGGTCAGAGTCATTACCCAGCCACCTTGCTGGTCTCTGCTCATTCATGTGCAGGAATTCATCTAATTGGATTCCTGTGCAGGGAAGAGGACTTATTCCTGAGCTCGATGCAAATGCAGGAGCTGTGGGCTGTGGTTGTGGTGCAGCAGAGCTCAGAGCTTTGCTGTCATTCCAGGAGCAATAACATGTTTCCAGGTACAGTCAAGGCTTTTTTCAAAAACCAAAGTGAGGAAGCAGTAGGTTCCTTACAACTCTTTGATCATTGAACACATCAGTCACCTTATTCCAGGGTGTTATGCTTGACTGGATTTGGCTCTACCTTCCACATATCTCTCTCTTACTCTCGCTGGTGAAACATGTTGGGTTTTTTTGACATGGAGATTGGTGTCTCTGGTTCAGAAGGGAGCTGGGATTAGAGAAATGTTTATGGAAAAATTCTGACCACTCCCAAGAGGTAACCATTGACAACTTTGTGCAAGTTGAGAACCCGTACCTTCAGCAACCTGCAAACATGGCCCTTGAAACCTTTAATATGAGGGAGTAACTTCCCATATGGAGCTGAACTTCTCAGTGTACGTGATGGAAGTGTGGATCTGAGTTGTAATGAGCTGTGTGTCCAGGAGGAGCTGTGATGACCTCAGACGTTGCCTGTTTGGGGAGGAATAAAGCCATCAGAAAGTCGAAGGTCACTGCTCCATGGGCAGTAAGCTGGGGACTCCAGCACCATGCTTGTGATGAGAAGCAGAGGCAGGGCCCTCTTGGCATGAGTGGTGCACGAGCCTGCACAGCCATGGTCACCTTGTGTGGGCTGGGGCTTCCTCCTGTCACTGCAAACGTGCAGTTGTGTGCAGGTGATTTGGGAGTGTCCTTTTACCTGATGTTCTTACAGCAGGACTTTCCTCCTGGGGTCATATGTCCGAATTATGAACTCCAAGTAACAGCTAGGATCTGTCACTGGCTACCTGATTAATGCCAACACCTCTCTGTGGAATAAGGAGACCATTTTAAGAAGACCAAGCCTGAGACTGAGCAGGACTATCTACTCCAGTGGATTTATCATCAGATTTGCTGTCCTCAATATTACAGCCTATTTTAGTCTCCTATGAAGAGGTGCTTATGCTTTCATAACTAAATTGGTATTTTTGGAGCATGGATTGGACTAACTTAAAGGTGAATGAGACCACGGTGTATTACTATTTTTTAAAGCTGATGATTTTGGGAAAGTCTCACAGGTGGCCTTGAACTGTTCACATTCATGGATCATGGCTTTGTGGATCTACTGTTTCTCCTAGTGCAGATCTGGTTCTTGTTCAGGCCCCATGTCACCTCAGGAAACACGACACAGATCGAAACACTCTCTGCAAAGAACAACTTCTCCAGAGGGTCCATGGTTTTTCTGGAGCGCAGGAAACTCTTGTCTGTCTAGGACATGCTCCTGCCTTGCTCTGATGCACTGCTGGAGCTGCCCTCCTGCTCCTCCTCCTTCTCCTCCTCCTCCCTTCTAAAGCTGCATCAGCTGCCAGTTGGGAGCCAGGGGGTTTTTGCATGAGGGACAAGCCCTCAAAACACAAAGGGATGGTTACAGGAGTGTGGCTGAGCCACAGACTATGCATCTAGAGATAAAACTCATCACTACATCTCTGTGCTGTGGGAATCCTGTGCTGTGCCAGGTGGAGGGAAGGCAAGGCAGTGAGGATGTGCTCTGCCCTGCATGAGGAGTTGAGACAGATGAATAAAACCCTTTATGCTGCAGTTTACTCATCCAGTCATGATACCTGCTATAGTAGCTGCTATAAAGTCAGCAGAGCCATGGAACCCCATAAAACAGTCTGGCTGCCTTGTTTATTGAGCCAACAAAGCCACAGGTTCCCAGAGAGGGAGTTCACACTGCAGAGAACAAGGTGGCACCAGCATATAAATGACATCATCTGTCTCTGTTCACACCACACGGGGCTCCTGAGCTCTGCAGGTGAGAATATTCCTGGAGACCTGAGCCTACACACCTTCATTAAATATTTTACACAAATATTGACTTCCCCGTGCACACAAACCCACTGGAAAGAGTGTTTGTGCAAGGAGAGCTGCTCTGCTACAAAATTAGTCACGCAGGCTCCCAAACACAAGGTTAGTAAATAGTTTCTCAAATAATGAACCATTTCAAGTTTCTGTGGGAAAGAGACTATCCAGAAATGTGTGATACATCCAAAGTAGCTGGATCTTTTTGATTAGTTTCTTTTCTCTGATTGCATCATCCGGCTGAGCCGCCAGAGCAACACGCTGACCTTCATTTCTGAGGGCATTTCACAAGACTGCTGCATTTGGAACAGAAAATGTGCTGTGTAAGATCCTGTTGTAGGCAATCATTTAGCTCATTTTTGCAGACATCTTCCAACACTCCCAGGGAATTAATACACAGAGACTGAGTTTCTCTGTGTGGTGCCATCAGAAACCCACACGGGGGGAGTAGCACAAGCACGGCACACACTCTGTGTGTTCAGCTGCTGCCTTCCCCAAAACAGAGAAGGGTTTGAATCTTTGTTTCTGAACTTTTTTCATTTCATCCCTGTGCAATGTAGGACAAATGTCCTTGTGCATCCTATGTGACCATTTTACAGGGAAGAGAATGGAGGAGGAGAAGCTGGATAGCTTCGGGGAAGTCTGCGAAGCCTTCGCAATCCATTGCACTATAAAGTGATGAGGCAGATTCCCCTGTTCCCAGCTGATGGGGGTCTGAGTGTGGAGCAGTCTGAGAGGCTGTGTGAGTGGGGCACAGTGAGGCTTCTGTTTGGACACAGTGCTGCTCAGAGCTGACTCTCCATTTGGTGTCACACCAGCAGGCACCCGTGTTAGCTCGAAGGCAAGAATCACTAAATCTAAAATGTGTTATCCCTGAACGTGGAAACAGCTGCCCAATTTTGTCATCCAGGTTCTGGGCAAGAAGGATGAGCATTGAGGACAGGCTTGGACTCTGACTCCAGCAAGTGGTGTGGGTGTTCTCTTCAGTGGATACAGTGCATGTGCATGATGAGCTCGTGGGAAAGGAATGGAAAGAGAGGATGAGCCTACAAGAAGGCTGGAGAGGGACTTTTCACAAGGGCCTGGAGTGATAGGAGAATGGGGGATGGCTTCCCACTGCCAGAAGGCAGGTTTGGATGGGATATTGGGAAGGAATTCTTCCCTGTGAGGGTGGAGAGGCCCTGACACAGGTTGCCCAGAGAAGCTGTGGCTGCCCCATCCCTGGAATTGTCCAAGGGCAGGCTGGATGGGGCTTGGAGCTGCCTGGGCTAGTGGAAGGTGTCCCTGCCCATGGCAGGGGGTGGAATGAGATGGTCGTTAAAGTCCCTTCCAACCCAAGCCAGTCTGTGATTTTGTTATTCTAAGATGAAAAACTGAGATTACAGGGAAAGTGAGGAAAGAGTGGGTAAGAGAAAGTGTCATGGGAAAAGAGTGGGCTGAGGTGAAATAAACAGCATGACACTTCCCACTTTTCCTCAAATTCAATATTTTCTCCCATTGCATGGCTTAAAACTGTTGTATCTGATTTTGTGCAGGGTAGAAGAGGCCACAAAAGTAGATAATTATGAAGACAGTAAGAAGAAGGACTGTTACCAGCTTCCTATTTCACGGGAAAATATTCACTTCCTGCAGACATGGGAAGAGACACTGCAGTGCTGGGAGAAGGTGCTGCAGGTGAGTGTTACCTGGGATTGACTTTGCAGGGTCAGGGAGCAGGAACTCTGTATCAGGCTTGTACTCACGGCTGGATGTGGCCACTGCCATCCAATTTCTCCCTCCCCAAGCCAAGAATAGCTGCTCCTTTAGGTTTGTGTGATCTGGGGAAGGTGTCAGGAATTGTGCCAGGAAAGGTCCCCGCCGGGGTACTCAGGTGCTGTGGGAGTTACTGTCTCTGTAGCAGTTTGCACAAAGAGCTCCCATGGTTGGAAAGGAAAGGCTTGTGTCCTGGACAGACTCCAGGCCCCTCTCCAGCACAGCAAGTCTCTGAGTGCAGGAGGTGTCTGTTGCAGCCTGGGCAGGTTGTTGGCGTTGACATGGAGTGGAAGCCTTCCTTTGGCATGGTGGGGAAGCCCCGTGTTGCCCTCCTCCAGATGGCAGTGAAGGATGAGGTGTTCCTGTTGGACCTGCCACGGCTCCTCGAGCAAGCTGAGCTGGAAGGGGAGAAGGAGAAGCTCCCCCGATTCATCCAGATGCTCTATTCAGATGCTGCCATCACTAAACTAGGTAACACACCTCTCTTCTCCCTACCCTGAGGCTTCACACAGCCTGCTTTGTCATTTTTGTCTTCTTGGAGTTGTCGTTCTCCAAATCCACTTGCCATGGAATCAGCTTTTGTAGCCCTGGGTGTTGAGGCACTGCCACGCCAGGAAGCAGGGTGACCAGGGGAATGATAGAAATATAGAATCACAGAACCCTAGAATATCCTGAGCTGGAAGGGACCCACAAGGACCATCCAGTCCAAGTCTTGGCCCTGCACAGACACCCCAACAATCCCACCCTGTCCCTCAGAGCGTTGTCCAAACATTCCTTGAGCTCTGGCAGCCTTGGGGCTGTGCCCACTGCCCTGGGGAGCCTGGTCAGTGCCAACCACCCTCTGGGGGAAGAACCTTTTCCTGAGATCCAACCTAAACCTCCCCTGACAGAGCTTCATGCCATTATATTTCCCCATTTCAGAGCAGAGGCAAGATTTCTGATTTAGCTTGCACTCTTGGATTTAGGATTATCCTAATTCCATACTAAGCTCCAACTGACACCCAAACCTTTTGGTTTAGGGAAGTCTGTCAGACAGAGCTTTCTGGATGTCTCTGTCCTTGCCCCAGAGCTGTCGTGCTGGACACCAGAGCTCTCTGAATTACCATACCTGGTTTTTGGAGGCTTTTGGCAGGATTTGCAAAGCCTGGATTTCAAGGACAAATTCATAATTACCTTCCCAGATTTTAAATAAGTTGATCTTAAACTCAGCATTTTTCATCCACCTCTTCTCTCCCTGGATCTGCAGGAGTGTCTCTTGGGAAGAGGAGAGATGGGAGCCAGTCTTTTTCCCTGTTTGAACAGTCTTTCCACCAGTGTTTGTGTATCTTTTGTCAGCATTTTGACTCTGAAGTAGAAGAAGCTGCAGTGCTTTAGCCATGACCTGAGTTTTCTTACCTGTGTGATTTGGGCTGTTTTTGTCTCCAGGTTATGGGATGTCTGGAGACCTCAGCAGCCTTGCAGCCACATGTTCTGCTCTGAAAGACATAGAGAAGCAACTGCATGGTGTGGTGGATCTACTCACAGTGGACAAACAAGTAAGGATGAACACATCGAGATGTGGGAAGTTGTGTCTCCTGTGTGTACTGGTGGATAACTGTACTGAATCCATAGCACTGTCTGTTTGTATCCTGGATTGGCAGGGATGCAGCTACATGTGTAAACAGACCATTTCCTGTAGTGTGTTTGATGTGTTGGGATTCTGTAAAGGAAGACAGAAGCATTTTGTTTTCATCAGCTAAAAGGTTAAAGCTTGCAATACTGACAGCTTTTTCACAGCCTTCATAAAAGCTCCATTCAGCCAGGGCAAGGTTTCTGAGCACAAGTTGAACTTAATACTAAGTTCTTGTAGGAAATCTGCTATCCCAGGACCATGCAGTATTGAAGCAGATATGATGGAGTTAATGATTTGTGCAGAACTCTAATGTTCCTTGGAGGGCTGCTGGTGGGTTCAGCACAGGAATTTCTGGTCAGCTGAAGCACAGCTGTCCCTGGATTTTCACACAGGAGCTTTTAGCAGTCTGCAGAAGTGTTGAGCACAACCATTTTAATGGGTAAAATGTACAGAGTGTGTTTAAGGCTGTGGGTTGGAGTGAAGCAGATCTTTGGGACTGATAGCTTAACCTGGGAATGCTGCAGGGGCTGACATACCTGCCAACAGCTATTGCCTCAGTTTAACCTGAGAAATGGCAGCTTCAGAAAGGGCTGCTGCCCAGAGTGGCACAGAAATGCCTTTTCTCATTGGGACAAGGAGCAGAAAGATGCTGAACTGCCACTGCTGGTCTTTTATTGAGTGGGTGCCTAGCAGCCTCCAGCACAGCTGAGCACCCAGAGCTCTCTGAGGAGCCCCAGTCCCAGCCCTGCAGCTCTGGTACAATGCTGTACAACAATGCCCTTTTTTTTCTTCCTTGGCTATGAAACAGATTTCTCTCTAGCAAGTGTGTTTGTTAAACAAATAACCTGACGCCGTTTATATCTAATGCCATCCCAGCCCTTGTCTGAGACAACGGGGTTCAATATGCCAGGCAGGAGATGGACGTGATAGAGTTGTGCCTGGCCCCACCCGCTGGAACACGAGGTGGTGGAGAAGCTGTTTTATAACCAGGTGTTTTCTATCTTTGTTTCCATCAGCTGCAGAAGGGCTGCAGTGAGTGGAGGAAGGACGGCCGGAAGGTTGATGGACTGTCCCCGGAGCACAGCCACGAGGAGAGAGGGGTCAGGCAGCAGGAGAAGGGACTCAGCCTCCTGGTGCACCATGTGCTGGGGAAACCTCTGGATAAAACAGAGCAGCTGTCAAACTGGGAGAAACGGCCTCTCCGGGAGGAGCAGATCCTCTATGCAGGTCTGGTCCCTGCTCAGTGACACGGAGCTACAGGTGTCCAGGACAGGTTGTGTTTGGCTGTTCTGTCACCAGGAAGGTCATTAAGTAGCAAAGGAAGAGAATGGCTTTGCAGATTAGTTCCTGTTCAGAGGAGTCAGCACATGTTTTGTTTGTCCTTTTGCGGACATGGCTTTAATGGTTGAAGTTTAAACTGTCCAATGATTCATTATTTCCCTTATGAAGGAATTCCTGTGCTTTGCAGATTTTGTCTGATGAAACATCACCTCAGTGGAAACTCTTCTCAGTAACTGAAAGGAAGAAAGTCCACTTCCTTCTGCCTCATTTCACAGCCTTCCTGGGAAACAAATGCTGTGTTCATTTGTCACAGTGAAGCGCTTGTTAGAGTCGGGTTAGAAATGGGCAGACGTGGTGTCAGAAACTGCAGCACAGAATCAGGACTGTGGAGGGACCAGTGGAGTTTATTGCTGATTATCCCAGAGTCAGAAGTCTGGGTCTAAATCTTTTCCTGGGGCATCAAAGGACAGTCTTTGCTGAAGCAAACCAGCCCTTTGTTAAATTCAACTATCCTTGAAGCTGACACAGTTCCCACAAAAGTTAATCACTAGGACTTGTCAAACTGGCTGGGAGACTCTGGCAGTTCCCGTTGCAGGGAGCAGAGCCACACAACAATGCATATGGGCAGGTGATTGCAAACAGCTCAGTTAATGCCTTTTCAGATATTGCATCTAGTGGGGAAGTTCCCTTCCCATTGAGAGATGTGGTGAGGAACCCTGGGCAGGCTCAGGGACAATGATGAGGAGCAGGGGCTGGCTGGAGCTATCAGGTGGTGGTTGGAACAGCCACACTACAGTTTGCATTGTGTTAGAGTGGAGAGGGCAGAGCCTGTCACCTTTGGAGATCCTGCCTTGACCCTCTGTGACTGTGTTCAGTTATGAGGCTTCGTGAATCAGTCACAGAGCACAGGGTAGGACGTGAGTGAGTTGGAGCTTCACATGTTGTTCACAGTGGCTTTTACAAAGGTGGAGGCTCTCCCTGGCATCAGGAAAGCCTCTGGTTTACTTCTGAATGGAACCAGGTGAGGCTCATATCCCCTTCCTTTCAGCCTCCGACGCGTACTGTTTGCTGGAGATCTACGAGAGGCTCTGCAGGGACCCAGAGAGCTTTGGGCTGAGCTCAGACCTGATGGAGAGTCTGGTGGGAAAACGGAGCATAAAACCCAGGGCAAAGAAGCAGCTGAATAAACAAGAAGCACTGTCACCTTCTGGACAGGTTTGTAAACATCTTCAAAGAGCTGCTTGTTGCTCAAGACCCCTGTAAATCATACCCTGCTCGTTCTCAGTCATACCATGAGCTATGCACGGCGGGCCCATTTGCAGCCTGTTCTCAGGACTATTGCAGCAAACGTCCTCCTCATCCCTCCCTCCCTGGAATGATGTGCTTTTTCCTTGGCCTGCTTGAGTTCACCTTTCCCTGCTCTTTGAGGTTCTTTTGTCTTTGCACAGTGTTGGTGCAGATCTGTGTGCAGAGTCCAGTGAACCTTGCTGCTGGAAATCTCCTTCCACATTTCCTCGGTGCTGTGGGCTTGGATTCTGTGACCAAGGTGTTGCATCCAAGAGGTTTAAAATTCTGACCTTCTTACTTTTTCTTTTATTAAGCTTCCACACCTTAGTTTCACACTGGGAAAGTCTCCTTAGTTGTGTCTGGAGTACAAGTGTGCAAAGTTGAAAGCAAACGATCCATCAAAAATGCCTTCCTGCTGAAGATTTGTCTCTGCCTCCCTGCACAGCACCACAATCCAGGACTGGCCTCTCCCAGTAGACTGTGTTGTGGCAGAGCCTTAAAACTCCACTGGCCATAACTTGGAGCTGTATGACTCTGCTTAAGTATCTTAGAATATGACTGGTTCCTCTCAATAATAAAGTTTTACTTTTGAAATGGAACCATCCAGTGGTTTATGCACCTTTGGAAACCTCAGCAGAAACCCCATTTTGTTTGTTATCTGAGAAGACTCACTGTAACTGTGTATCCTTCTGAGGAGCTCCAAATGTGTGCTGAGTTCCTGAAGTCCATGCCACCTTCCATGGTTGGGCTGAGATGTTACTGACTGTATCCACCTTGTCAGGAGGGTGTAGAAGTGCAGCATCCCCTTAGTCCTCATCGGGCAGTAAAACATGGAGCTGCTCAGTACCTCCCTAATCACTCTGTTCATGGGAATGTTGTGTTACAGCAGAGCTGACTGGCTGCTGCAGAGATGGGAAAAGTGAGTACTTCAGGCTTGAATTACCTTGAATTACCGTGGGGGAACCCACGGGTCATCTTTGTGTTCTGTACAGTCAGATTCATGAACTGAGAGGCAGTTGGTAAAACCTGGACTGGGACGCCAAGAAAAGCAGACTTCTCCTGACTCTGCATCCTACAGGACTCCAGACTCTCTTTCCCAGTGTTTCCTGGTCCACTATCTGAAGTGGGGCTAATGACTCTGTTCTCCTTTATAAAGCTTTTTGCTCTCTGCTGGCATGAAACGTGAGAAAAAAGCTACATATGACAGTGCTGGCCACTGCATAAACACTGGTGAGGGCCAGCTGCTGCTCCTGCACATCTGTTTGAGCAGCAGCAGCAGCCAGGGTTAGTGTCTTCCAACTGCCTCGGCACTGAGGGGCAGCTCGATCCCTTGTCACAGCCCTCTGATGTCCCAGCTGCATCCACCAGGGTCCTGCAGGAGCTGGTGACAGCACAGTCTGCCCAGTGCTGCAGAGCCCTGAGGTCGTGGACCAGCTTCTGGGAGGTGCAGCCTCCCACCAGTGGAGCTCCTGGATCTGAGCTGGTTCCCAGGGTCAGCCCAAGTGGAGCTGCATGTTGTGCCACAGCATTCCCAGCCTTGAGCCAGCTCCTGCAGGGCTAATCTGCAGTGCTGACTCCCTGCATAGGTGCTGGCTGTGTCCTTCAGTCATCCCAGCTGATTCAAGTTCCTGGAGTCAAAAGCTGAACATTGGAAGTTCCTTAATAACTTCCCTTCTCCATGAATTTAGCTATTGTACTTCTGGGAGCCTCCAAGCGCTGAAGTCCTCCAAGTGCAGGAACTCCCCCAGCAGCAGATATTCGAAATAAAACAAACAGAATTTAGGCACTGCCTATTTTTAACCTTCCAAAGATAACAGAGCTGACGTGGTTGCTTTGTCTACCTGTTTCTCCCTCTGTCTGTGTGATCCCCTTCCCAAATCATAGCTTTGGCACATGTTTATTAGTTGCACACTAATTCCGTAGGGGAACAGCAGCCTTGACGATGTTTCTGTGACTTCATGAAGGTGGATGTCTGTGTAGAGCACTGAAGGCCAGGTTGGCATTTCTCCAGGGAAAGGCTGCAGCTCCCTGGATCGGGTGGCCAGCTGGCCAGCGAGACAATGACTAATTCAGAATTAGCCCCATCATGTGCTGCCTCCTACCCACATGGCAGTGGGCAGTGTGGAAAGAGGGAAGGAGGATCTAGAGGTGTTGCAGAGCGTGGTGTGATACAGGTGGAAGGAGACAGTTGGATTTGTTGCGGTGGGTTAATGCAGGGACATAAAACACGAAAGTACTGGAAATCAGCCTTCTGCTGTTTATGGGTCTCTTGCCTTTCTCTAGCAATGCCAAGGATCCCAGATGGAGACCTCCCATGCCCCCGCCTCTGTGTCCCCCAGGGAGTTCAGCGTGGTCTGTGACAACATGCTGCAGGGTCTCGGGCGCTACCTGCGCTGCCTGGGTGTGGATGTCCGGATGCTGGACAACGAGGATGACCACAGGAAAGCTGCTGAGGTGAGTCAGGCACACACATGTGCATGTTCACAGCTGCCACTGTGCTCCCTGGGGATGGCTGCTGCCTGCTCTGGAGCTGCACTGGCTGTCGCTCTGCCCAACAGGCAGTGGGTGCAGGAGCTGCCCTGCAGGCGCCTCCTCCTGTGCCTGTGCTGGGTCCCAGCTCTCTGGGTCAGTCTGAGAAGCTGTGCCACCTGGCAGCTGGTGACAGCTGGTCCCTGCAGTGATGTGTGGGCTTGGTTCTCTGCTTTCAGTAGAGAGGTGAGCAGAGACTGCTGTGATCTCACTCTTATTTATGTCTGTTTGTGTCATCGACAGCCAGAGCAGTTGAAGTCATGAGAAGAACACAAGCAGAGTGTAAAGATCATAGAATCACAGAATGGTTTGGGTTGGGAGGGACCTTAAAGATCATCTCATTCCAGCCCCCCAAAGATGTGACCAGGTGTCTTTGGGGAGGCTGTGTGTTTGCAACAAGACAAAAGTCACTGAAAGGAACCCAAAAATCACTTAGATTTCTAATGGATTCCAGTCTGGGCTTACAGGAAAGGTAATTGTTTGCCTTGTGTCCAGGTCCTTGTATCTAGTTGGGCAGAACCATAATCCAAAGATGGCTGTTCATTATGGAAGGGAAAATGTCCATAATCAGTGGTCATGTAATGTCCTGGCTGGCCACCACCTTGTGAGGTGACTCAAAGGTGATCAGCCACAACTTGCTCTGACATAATTGGAAGAGTCTCTAACATACATGGGGACAGTGAACATTGATTTGGGCTCCCATAAGAACTCTGATACTCTGCCTCCCAGAGGAGAGACGTGTGCTGCTTCATTTCAGACATATTTCTGCTATGCCAGAACTGGAGATATCCAGCCCACACAGTGTGTGCTACCAAATGTGCGCGAATCACCCGGCTTGGTGTGCAGGATGTTTCCTCTTCAGATGTCTGCTTGGCCTGAGTCCGGGGCAGGCTCTAACTTCTGCAGAAATAATTAATATCTCCTCCCTGCCAAACTTGCACAAGTCATTTAAACAAACTAGTTCTCACTGCTTCCCCCAGAGCCCCGTCTCCGCTTCTCATCCTGATACCTTATCGTGCCACGGACAGGATGTTTGACATTGCTTTCTCTATGGTGACCGGACAAACATCCTTTCACTATCAAAAGCCCTTGGAGTGTTACTGTATTGCAGAGCCTTTGATCTGGGCTTGGATAATCAAAGATAAAAATAGACTCCTCCCACCCTGCTTTATATCTGGCTTGTCCTGATTTAATCAAAGTTGAATGTTGACCACCCTACGCCCAAAAACTTGGAAATGGTATTGCAAAGGCCAGGAGGGGGTTTGAATCCAGGTCACTGAATACAAGACAGACAGTTTGGATGTTGCCCCAGCACAGTCTCAAACTAGTGTCACTAGGAATACATAAGTGTGTACAGAGTTAGTGTTTGTTCTTCATTAAAGTCTTTTTGCTCAAATGATTTATCAGTCATATTACACATCTCCTTGTGCCAAGAACTCCTGCATCACCTGGTGTTTGCTCCATATTGTTCTCATTCCTGTTGCTTGTTAAAGTGGCTTCAAGTATTGATAGGCAGGTAGGTCTGGTCCTTCACCCTCTGTTATTTGGATCAAGCTTAAAAGCCTGTGAACTTCATCAGCTGTGCTTGGGCAGCTCTGGAATTGATTTATGTTTTGTTTTAGACTAGTGCATGTGGCAGGAATTGGTTTGAGAACCCCCATTCCCAGGAGGTCCTTGTTCCATGGACATGAAGTCTGTGTCCTCTGTTCTGCTTTATGTTGTGCTGTTGTTATTGGCTAAGTGTTTTATCTTGGACATCAGTTGTCATGGCGAGTTTATTGTGCCAGATCTGCAATCTCAGATGTGCAGGCATGTGAGAGCAGGACCTCTGACAGCACAAGCCACTGGATGCCCCTTGATTGTGCATATGTAGTGGTGGCAGTGCTGGGCTAACAGCTGGACTCAATGATCTTAGAGGTCTTTCCCAACCTTAATGATTCTGTGATTCTATGGTTCTGTTTATCTCCTGTGAGATGCCACCAGCTTGCAGTCTGTGATTTAGTGGTGCTGTTTAATCAGGATTTGACTGGAGAAGCAACTGATTAAAGTTGCCTGTCATAAGCACAGACACAGAAAATCTTTAAAAATGGAAAAATAGGAGAAACTCATACTGAAAATGTCTGTGGTGAAATCTGTTCTTGTGTGAAAGGCAAAGAGCTCACAGGCCATCCTTACAGAAACATTTTAGCCTCTGTCCATGAGCACCACCCTCTTGGGGAAGGTGTCCTTTCCCAAGCCCTCTCATCCAGTGCTGTTTTTACCACTAACTTACCTGCTGTAGCACTTGCACACACATTTGGCACAGCAGGAATGCAGCTGGGGGATGAAATTTGTTCCAGATGTGCTGGATGAGCTCCTTTACCTGACATTAGCAGCGTGTACATTGAGAGATGGGATCCAGCACATGCTTTTCCTGACACATTCCTGCCTGGCAGCACTGCTCCGGTCCTGCACCTTGGGTAGGTCCTTCTGCAGGACTTTGGGCAGTGGCCCGGATTGGCCCAAGCCTGGCTCCCTGCTGTGTGGCCTCTCTGAAGAAGGGCTGTGTGCATCCAGCCATTCCTCCCCAGGACTCTGACTCCAGCCCAGGGTGATCCCTCAGGTAAAGAATGCAGAGATTCCATCTCTGTGATGCAGCACATTCGGGGTGTGCAGGTGCCATGTTTTGGTGAGCCACCCTTTGCCATTGCATGTATTTCATAAGCAACATGTTATTTCCAATTAATACAAGATTCTTTACTTAAATCATGTCCTGTGCCTGTAAGGGTTCCTACCCAGGTCTTCCATGCCCCATCCCTGGGAAACATTTCTGGTCAGGTTGGAGGGAGGCTCTGAGCAAACTGATCCAGTTGAAGGTGTCCCTGCTCACTGAAGGGGAGTTGAAATGAGGTGGCCTTTAAAAGATCCCTTCCAATCCAAATTATTTTATGATTCCAGATTGTCTTCTGCAAACTTCTCCTTTCAGAGAATCTTAAACCTATCTTTTGAATTTTCGAGATGGATAATTGGAAGAAGATAGGAAAGTTTCAGTGGGTGTTCCTCTTTTCTCTGCAGTTTTGTAGATCAGACAGATGCTTCTCGTACTGAACCTAAAGGATCACCTATCAGCCTGAAGTGACTACAGTAGATCCTGCAATGTACATCAGGAGTAGAGAAGAGGTTTTTAAGAAAATGTTGGTAGTCTCTTAGGTTTCTAATAAGAGACTCAGTGGAATCTCAAAGCTGCTTCAGCTGAGTTGAGGGTTGGTTTGTTTTATTTTTTTAATGGACTTTGCTCTTGGTCTTCAAAATCATCCTCATCTCTAAGAATACTTTGACGCTAAGGCAAACCTGGTACCTTTTGAAGTGTGATAATAACCAGAAGGCAGGTAAAACTGGCTTCCTGCAGCTCCCATGCTGTTGAAGGTTCCCTTACAAGGTTACACCTACCCCCCAAAACTCCAGGTGAACCAGCGAGTTGGAGAGGAGGGTCAGGCTGGATGATCTCAGGAGCCAGATAGAGCACTGCGCACCCAGATCTAAATTGCCCTGGACTGATTTGGAGCCAGGGAACACAAAGGGGACTTTAATACTGCAGTGAGCAGAGGTTCACATAATGGGGGAATCTAATCTCAGACAAGAGATTAGATTGTCTCCACTTTGAAAGCTTTTTCCATATTTTTGATGTAGATGACATTCTTCAGGTTTGCTGGTGTTTTTACTGCACAGACTGTCAGGGAGCTAAATTCACAGAGGGCAGATGAAGACCTGTGTTGCTTTTAAGATCAAGACTTGGCTTGTGATGTTTGGTCAGCAGGAGGAGGAGGTGTTTTGTTGGAGACCTTGATACCAACAAGTCTGCATTAAGAAACAAAACTGGGTGGATGGTTTTGGTGTGATACTTAAGGCCACATTACAAAACCATGCGATAACTCATGGTTATTGCATAGTTTTCAGGAATGCTGAAGAGAAGTTTAGGGTTGCAGTATCAGTGGGGCTGGACTGAGAGTGCTCAGAGCTGTTGAACTTTTGGTTTACTGTCTGTTTTAAAGGAGCCTGGGATAACCCTCCCTCGAGGGTTTGACTGAGTTTTGTGATCCAGTTCTCTGGTAGATCCTTGTCTGAGCGCTTTCCCACCACACATCCTGGGGCAGACACTTTCTGTCCACTCCCTCTTCATCTGAACTGGGACCTTGCTGGCCCAGGCTCAGGATCACTGCAAAGGGGTCACAGCTTTTCCTCGACTGCAATTTGCTTCTTAAAGAGCATGTGGCATTGCCCAACATGTGTCATGCACAGACTTGGCGAAGTTTAACTTACAAATCCAGAGCCTTGTGCTGCTGTTTCTTGAAACCTCTTTTGGCCTTACTTCAGGATCCTTCAGGTTGTCACAAATCATCCTGGTGCTGGGTTTGAAGCAAAGGGGCTCTCTGCCCTCTCTCTTCAGTCATTGCCTTTTCAGGTCTCTTTGACAGTAATTCCTTTGGGTTCATTCATCTCTGCAGGATGGAAGTTGGCTAAACAGGCAGGCACATTAAGGGCTAAACAGTAATACCAAGGGAGTGCTTTCTATCCAGGAGGTCTGAGCCTTTTTCAGAGGAAGTTGATGTTATCTTTGTAATAGATTGTGAAACTGAGGCCAATGCCCTCTCTGCAGCACTTGGGCTGGAGCACAGGTCCCTGACACCCACTCCAAAATGCTGCCCTGGGCCCTCCTTTCCTCTTGTTTGGATCGCTGACCACACATCTCTCGATGGTCCCAGCACTACCTTCCCTACTGCTTTTGGAGAAATAGAAGGAATTGTGCCTCTTTGGTCCCAGTCAGATGTGTGCTGTCACATGGCTTTTCTGGCTCTGCATGCTTCTCCCAGTCCCTGTTCCAGAGGCGGAAAAACATGCTCCAAGAGTTATTGCTTTTCTCCTTTTTATTTGATGTTCTTTGCCTGTCTCTGCAGAGCCGTTTAGATAAGGGGATTTATCAAGCTTGAACTAATTAACCCTGGATGCAGGAAGTCAGAATGGAGTGTTCCAGTTCTGAAATCCTCAGCCTTACCCTGAAGCACACTTGGGTCTGAAGGAGTTTCACTTCTCTTTTCCCTTGCTGGCAGATCACTGTGGTGAACTTCTGCTGTTGCCTTACCAGACTTCTCTCAATAATGTGCCATGAGGATGCTGTCTTGGCTGCTCTGTACCCAAACTGTGTGAAGCAGGATTGCATGGGGTGCCTCTGGATGGCATGGGGTGCCTCTGCCGCTCACCTTCAAGGTTCCTGTTCTTAAAGATTTTTTCCTGCATCGAGAGAGAGAGTTGATTTTGAAAGAAATCCAGTAATTCTACCTGTAGGAAGGTGCTTCAGAAGTTACCAATTGCTTTGTCAGTGCAGAATGGACAGCCAAAGAGTGACTTCACAAAAAAAGGAGGGAAGCAGCTACCTAAAAGATCAAGAAGGAAAAAAAGAAAAAATAACGTTGCTTAGCTGCCTGCATGGGACCTTCAGAGCCTTCTCCCCCTTGTTTCATGTTGCCATTGAACCAGTGGGTCTTAAAAAAATGTCTGTCCAAGGCAGAGTTTAAAAGTCATGGTTGGGTTTTCTGCTGTTCCCTGGCTATGCTTGGTGGTGTCATCTGTGTGGAAAGTGCAGCAGGACTTTGATCCCAAATGTGTCCTCCTGCCAAGGTTAGAGAGTGATCCAGAGAGAGCTGCTGAACTCTGAACCAGATGAGAGACCTCCACGACACACATATGGAATCAGTGAAAAACATGAGGGCTTCCAACAGAATCCAAACCAGAGAAGAAAGATAACCTCATGCCTACCTCAAAGCACTGATCTCTTGTCAACAGGATCAGAGCTGAGTCCTGGTTCACATGGGAATCCTTTGGAATCCTCCTGTCACCAATGGCCATGAAGCTCTTTCCCTCCTACAGGAGGGGGAGGGGGAGGGGGAGGGAGGGAGGAATGTCATTCAGTCATAAGGTCAGTCACACTTCCATCCTTGCAGCTCCAGATTTAGTGTCTCCTTTTGGCACCAACCCATTTGCAGTGTCTCTGGCTCTGTGGGAAGGTCAGCAGTGTGGGTGATGAGCCCCTTGGTAATTCAGTGCAGACCTTCCACTTGAAGGACCAGATCTCTGATAAAAGCTCGGGACTACAAGTTGGGATGTGATAAACTCTAAGGGAGATATTCCTCGAAGCCCAGAAAGGTGCATAATTTCTGTGTGTTGGGTTGCTGGGACAATAACACCCTCTTTCTTTTAGGAGCATTTTCTGTTAATGATATGGAGTTTGCAGATACATTTCGTGGTACATTTTTTTACTGTAATGACCTGCTTAGGCTAGTTTTTCCTTTCTCCCCTGTGTAGCAGAAGTGTTTGCTTCTTTGTAACCCAGACTGAGGAAATAGAAATAGTCTGGGCTAAGGGAAAAATATAAAAGATTGGTTTTGAATAGAATTGTTTCAAGGTGGGATGGTTCCCTGGGCCATCTGCAGTGCAGATGCAGCTTGTTTCAGCACATGAGAGACATGGCAGGGATTGGCAGGGAGGGGACATGAGCCATACCTTGAGCTGCTATGGCTCTCAAGAGCTCTCGGCCAGGTGTGGGCTGACACTGAAGAGAAACACTCAGGATCTCTAGTTCACCTTCTCTCTTGTGACTGCAAGTAAAGCTTGAACACAGTGTAACTTCAGCCCCTGTTCATTTGGATTTTTACTGTTTTTTCCAGATTGCCCGACAGGAAGGAAGAGTCATTTTAACCTCTGGACTCCCATATCAGACTGTAAGTGTTCCGAGCTGCTGCCGTGTTTCTGGCATTGTATCACTGCGTGGTCTGGGGTGTGCAGGGGAGAGAAGAGGAAAAGTCACATGTGAATGCAACAGCTGGCTTGGCTTTTTCATGTTTTCTGCACTAAAAGCTATGTTAAGGGTCTTGAGAGGTTTGCTGTGCTCAACTGCCAGAGCTTGGGGTGAAATATGCTTTTATACTTATTCTCAGTCCTGCATCAGTGGGGAGAGCAATTGCTCTCTGTCGGGGGCAGGTATGGAAGTCAAGCCAAGGAATCCAGAACAAAATGTTTCTGTTTGACCTCACTGGCAGGTGAAAGGCAGCTCCATTCCTGTGCTTTTTATCCCAGAGATTCTTGTTTACTGACTGGCTCCACACTGACAGTTTCAACACTTAAAGACATTTCTTCAGGCTTGGAAGGCAGAGATTGGAAGTCCCCGAGGATCCTGATGGAAACTGTAGAGGTTTTGTGTTCCTATAGATAAACAAAAAAGTCAAAGAAAACCCAACCTTACCCTCAACACCAGCTGTTCAGAGCCCTTCACAGACAGTGTTGGTGGGGATCTGCTGAACCTGCCAAGTCAGTGGTTGCAATGTTGTAATGACCTGCTCCAGGTAGCAATTTTTTACTGCTCAAAAATTCATTTGGAAGAGGGAAACTGTTCTGGATGAGCCAGAGTTCTGTTCACGTGAGCCAGAGTGCAGGACTTCTCTGTCACAAACTGTCAGTACAAAAACTCCCAGCTACTCAATCAGCCAGCTGGAGTATTTGCAGAATACGGGTTGATGATTTCCTATGTCATAGCTGAGTGTGGAAGAAAACTCCCCCCACGATGAGACATGGAGGCAAGTGCAGTTGTGCCACACTGCAGGTTCTTCATCCAGACTGTGGTTCCTTGAGCCTACAGCTGATGTTATAAGTAATTCAGCATCCAGCATAATCTTGTTTGGCAAAGCTTAAACTTCAGAGTTCTGTGTAGGAATTGTAGAAGGAAAATAACTATTTCCAGTGTACAGTACTGACCTGGGAAATGTCTGGGTGCCTTTGTTTCCTTGCCTTTGGATGTCCTCTGCAAGGACAGGATGGCTCTACCAGGCTCCTTTACTGGTGTGCAGCTATCCCACCTTGTGAGTACTCAGCATGGTCATAAAAATATGTCTGGAACTTCCCAGTGCTTGTTCCCAGATGCAGACTTCTCTTCTAAATGTGGAACAAACATTGAGGGACTGTCCACGTCAACTCCTTCAAATTTTTTGACCATAAGGGAACTTAAACATTCTGTGAAGCAGAAGGGTTGGAGGGGTCATTGGACACCATTTCCATCCTCGTGCTTTGGCACACTGATCTGGCCAGATTTCATCTGATAGCTGGGATTTAATTCAGTTTCCTCTTGCTACCCCTGTTAGCACCACTGCACCAACTTATAAACTGACAGGATTTGCCATCTTCTGTAGAATAGAATCATGGAATCATTAAGGTTGGAAAACACCTTTAAGATCATCAAGTCCAACTGTTAACCCAGCACCACCACCAAGGCCACCGCTAACCTATGTCCTCAAGTACCCCATCCACATGTTTTTTGAATCCCTCCAGGGATGGGGACTCCATCACTGTCCTGGGCAGCCTGTGCCAGGGCTGGACAACCTTTTCAGTGAAGAAACTTTCCCTAATATCCAACCTAAATATCCCCTGGCACAACTTGAGGTCGTTTCCTCTTGTTACCTGGGAGCAGAGCCTGACCCTGACCTGGATCCAACCTCCTGTCAAGGAGCTGTAGAGAGTGAGAAGGTTCCCCCTGAGCCTCCTTTTCTTCAAGCTAAATCATATTTCATGTTTATAAAATACTGCAGTGCTTCAGGAGTCAGAGCTACCGCAGCAGTGACTGACTGTTAAATTACCAACTGTGCTGGTTAGATCAAAATTCAGACTGTAAAGACATACTAACTCCAAACATTATTTGTAATTCAAACCAAACCAAGTGTATCAGGAAAATCCCCACATGTGCCTTACTGAGTGTCTTTTTGGTTTGAAGCTGCGGTCCCAGGTGGGAGAAGGAAGGTGTTTCTCTGTGAACTGCTCAGAAAAGGCAAAAGAACAGGCCCTGCAGGTTCTGAAGCACTTCAACATCCAGGTGTCTCTGAGCGATATCTTCAGCCGCTGCCAGGTAGGACGAGGCTGGTTTGAGTCCCGGGGCCCTCTCACTCGCTGTTCCCTGCACAGCAGGTGCTTCTTCGGTATTTTGGGCCTTGCACTCAGTGTGTTCCTGGTTCCCAAGAGTTCTGCTTCAACTTTGGCAGCCCCTTGCAAAGCCCTGAGGAGTTCTGAGTGCGCTCACGTCCCTCAGAGTGGTGATGGCTCAGTCATGGCAGCAGAGGCTCTGAATCTGCAGCTTTGCTAGAAACTCGTCTGTTCTTCTGATTTTTGGTACTTGGCATGTGTTTTGGCATCGACTGTCATGGTTATAGTCTCTTTGTTGCTGTGTTCTCTGTCTAGGACACATGCTGTTTTAATTATGAACTGCGTTTAATTACGTCTCTGTGATTCTGATAACACTTAATTACTTTAATAGGAGGATTTTTTCATAGGACTTCTTTTTCTTTCAGAAGCTATTAGGTTAATTCGTGTCCATGCTAGTTGATGACTCTAGATTGTGTTTGGCACTGTGTATCTGTGGATTGTTGTTAAGAATAAATTTTAATTGTGTTAGCTCAAATCACCATCTCTTCCAATTTCACTCTTATATTTGTTACAGCAACACGCTGAAACCTATCCCTCCAAAAACTGTAATATAAACCAACGGGCAGCTCCAACATCTCTCATCTTATCAGTGTTTAAAGAGAGAAAAAGAAGAAACTGGAAATTGGCTAGAAAAGGAGCTTTCTCTTAGGGATAAACAAGCCCTTGAGTCTGGCTCAATGCCTTGTGGTTGAGCTCCGGGGTCTCCTGGCCCAGTGGAGCTGCACAAGCAGTGTAGGAGCAGCACTGACTCCTGAGCAGACACACCAGAGAGCATGTCCTAGACCTCTGCTTATATCTGCTGTTCGATGTTGAAACTGGATCTGTAACTTAGAGAGGAAATGAGGGTTGTCCAGCTGGGCAGGTTGCTGTGAGAGGAGGCTGACGGAACACCCTGCGGGTCGGATCGACAGAATATGGGTCGATCTTACTGCAGGATAAATGTACATACTCAGATATAGCATACTGCCTTCAATCCTGTGGTTTTATTGTCCCAGAGCAGATTGCAGTTGTTATACATATGTGTATTTACAGTGGCACGCTGGCTTCTTGGCGATTTTAAACAAAACTTTAAAAAACCTTGTGGATTCTCCGATTCCCTGACATCCCATAAAATAACAGTGTTCCTCCTGATGGTTGTTGAAATACCACAAGAATCAGCACACACACAAAACCATGCTGCAGGAAACCCTGTACTCTCTGTAATAAATGCACAAGACTGTGCAGCAGCCGATGGAAAACTGACCCCTCTCCAGCAGGATCTGGGGTCTGGAACTGGTTAACTCTATGGGTTTAGTATATGCTGTCTTGGTTTACAATATAAATAGGGGTAATCAATCTGGCTAGGAATATATACTAACTGTTCTCTTACTTCCAGGAGAAATGCCTTCCCTGTAAATTGTGGTGGTGGAACAGCTGCATGTTTTATACCCCTCGACATGGGAAGATGCTGATTTGTCAAACCTCTCCATGTTCTGAATCATGTATTTACCTACATTCAAGGCTTTTAGAGCTTATTTTGTTCCACTGTCCTCTGCAGACAGCACAAGTCTGGCTGATAACGTTACTGATGCTCTGGAGGAGAACCCAAGCTCTTCCAGCCGCAGGTGCCCAGACACTGCAATGCTCTGTGGACTGTGTGTGAGGGGGGCTGTGGGCAGCACATGGAAATGGATCATCCTCCATCACTGTGCAATATTGACAGCCTCGTCAAAAATGGCAGATTTCTGCCTTGAAGAGGGTGCTCTGGGGCCTCAGTGGCCAACAGAGACCTCAGCAGTTCTTTTGTATGTTCTTTCTAAAACATCCTCATTCTCTGCAAACCTAATTGGACTTAATTAGAATGGAGTCTGGATGCCTGCCAGCCTGCCCGTGCTGCTCTGGGGCCAGGTTACAGACCCCAGGGCTCCCAAACTGCCCCGAGCCCTGCCCCCTCCTTGCAGAGGGCTGGCGGAGGGTTTTGGCTGTCCCTGAAGTGGGGAGCAGGTTGGGCATATGAGTGGGGCTCTAGAAACAACTGAGTGCTGCTGTGTCCATGCTAGGCAGAAGGAAGAGGATGGGGAATACTGATCCATCACATGGGCCACTCTCCTCCCTTGTCTCCGTAGAGCTGGTCCGCCAGTGCAGGGGTGGGTTATGGACACCATCAACCATCACAGATAAGCGTTCGCTCTGTGTCACAGGAAGCAATGTGGCATCCTGCCTGCCTCCCTCTGTCTCATGGAGCAAGGGCTTGTTTTGTCTCCTGGGCTTCTGTTCTGTAAATGATTGGAGTAAATATGTCAGCAAATATTGTTGTCGTAACAATTAATGTGTGTAGTGCAGAGCCCACGGTAAAAATAGGTTCCAATTCAATGTTGTACCCAAGATTGCTGGAAAATATGTTTCCTCTGTCATCTCCCTCAGCAGGGACGGAGGGGCTCGCTTTTGCAGACGTAAAGAATGGGATTGCTTTGTCACCCTGCCAAAATACTGATGGCTTTTTCTTTTAAAACAATGGCCAATACTGGTTACTTCTATCTGATTTAGAGCAGCAAGTGCCCAGGGAATGTCACCCAGGGGCTTCTCAGCATTTTGTTCCCTCTCGAGCTGGGCTTTGGCTTGGTTGCTCCAGTTAAAGGCTCCAGGAGTGGGGATTACAGCCAAAGGTGTCAGTGATGGCACAGGAATGGCCTTCTCTTTCCATGCATCTCTCAAGTGCTGTGTTGTAATAGGACTTGGTGATAGTCATGGAGAAACCACCCCTGCACAGCAGCTGTAGCCAGGCCTGGTGCTGCCTTTGGCAAGGAATGTTTTAGGGGGGCTGAGTAAAAATAAGATTAATTCTGTCTTTCGGTGACATGCAAAAAATCCCCTGAGAAGTTCTACATTTCACAGCCTTAAAATATTTGAAACCCATTCCCTCTATTTGAAATGCAAATGTCCTGTGCCTGTCACCTCTGCACACATTTGAATATCTTGTATGCAAGTATCTTGTATTTCAGATATCCGAAAGTACCTCCTTCAGGAAGGGGTGATGTGAAATGATGCTTGGGGTGTTCTGACATGATCAGGCCAGAACAATGAGCCCTTACAGTAGTTAGGAACGTCTCTGTAGAGTTGTCAGGGTCTGTTGTGGGCAGCCTTAGGGCCAGCTCACAGCCTGGCTCACGTGGGAGGCCAGTGATCCTCTGCTCTCCACAGCTTGGAGGGAGTTCTAACACAGAAGTAGCATTTAAAAAAGAAAGAAATACCAAAACTTGCTAAGGAAGGTGGCTGCTGGGTGGCTGCAGTCATGACTATGGGCAGCTGACAGCTGGGTCATTTCACAGTGGGAACTTTGGCTCCTTCCCCAGGTCCCTCCATTCATGGAGGTTGTTGTCTCCCATCCCTCCTGGTGCTGCAGGTGGGATGTCCCTGCTTGGGGACATCCTGCTGTGACACTTGGGTATGGCCTGTCAGGACAGTAGGAGGACATTCCAGTCTCATAAAGAAACTCCTGAAAACAGACATGTTTTGGCAGATATTACCTGGATGAGTGGTGCGGCTTTTGCCATCCGGCTTTTCCGTGCTGTCTGATTGAAGGTCCACCCAAAGCAGGTGTGGGCTGTATCTATGGACCTGCCAGTGCCTCATCACTGACTGCTTGGTGAGCCCGAGGTCTCAGGACATTTTACTCTCCGTGGCTGGGGTGCAGTGTCTGGCCCTACCAAGTTCTTGTCAGTGACAAAACACTTGTGTGGAAGCAGATCAATGGAGGTGCAGGGCTGGCAGTGCCACTTCTCACACACTAACAGGGTGAAATCACGGTTTGAATGGTGATAAACTGAGGAGATAAACACTGCAAGTTGTTAGCTTTAAATCTTTATATCACAATGGTTTGAAGGGAAAACAGCGTGTTCAGTGTTCTATGGGCTCGCTGAGAAATTCCTTCTGTTCTGGAAGAATCTTGTGGTTAAAGGATTCTAACTCTGCTGTAAAACCGTCACTGGTGTGAGGCTCTGCAGCCACATTTGGAGCCAGGAAAGCCCGTCTGTCCGCAGAAAAGCTACCTTTCCTCAGAAGTGAAGCTGCTGCTCAGCTCAGTTCTGAGTCCAAAGCTTTGCTGGGGGACCCGGGTCCTGCAGGGCGGCTATGCCACCCCCCACCTCCCCTGGGCCTCTCTTTCCTTTCCCACCCTCTGTTTGACTTGACCCTTTAGCCTTTAAGCTGGCCAGGGCAGGGACCCTGCTTGAACAATACCTAACACAAGAGGAGGCTGATCCCAGGTGAGGTTTCAGGGCTTTCCGGCAAGTAAAAATGATTGCAATTATATCCCCTGCAAAAATAAATGTGTGGGGAAAAAAAGATCTCAGGCTCCAGCTGCAGTTTGTGCATCTGAACAGCCCTGCATTGATGGTGGGATTATCTGCAAATTCAAATAGGTTGTCTCTTTCACTTCACTGAATTCTCTGATCCTAAATAAGCAAATTACATCACCTATTCTGATGTCCTGTTTAACTTATGACCTCAGCCTGAGTGCTGCAGGATGTGAGAGATAGCTGCTCAATTTCATTGTCTGGAGATCTGATATATTTTTCGCCTTTTTTGCCTCCCCCTTCCCTGCTCTTTCAGTTTCCAAACCACTCACCCCAGCCTTTACAAAGGTGTTAGCAAGGGATTAGGAGTAGGCGGGGAAGAGGGGGAAGGAAGAGAGGAAACCACCTTTTTTTTTTTTTTAAATTAGGTGCAAAAGCATTCTGACAGTTGCAGCAAATGTTTCTGGGTTTTTGTGGTTGAGGTAACAAATTTCGTTGCTGCAAAGCTCATCATGTGCAAGCTGATTTACGCAGAGGGAGCCTGGGATGGAGCAATCCATTTAGCGGGGACAAAGAAAAAGGCCTTATGATGAGATGGAAACCCTGTGCTTGGGGCACTTTGCGAGAACCTTTGAAGCAAGCCTGGGAACTC